TATTACCTGTATGTATAGGATGTGTGGCAAATAACAGTCCTGCAATGAGTGAAGCATGATGGGAAAGCACCATTGCATAACACAGTACCACAACCAATAGACACACAATGGAATGCAAAACGGCATTGATTGCATGATACCCTGCTGGGTTCAAACCATTGATTGCATAATTGAGTCTGAATGAAGCAACRCATAATGGACGATAAGACTTATGGCTGCCACTGTGTGTGAGAGGGGTACCCCAGAAATCATTGTACAATAGATTGACCCAGGGGGTAGTAGAGCGGAGGTCTGTGTTGTTTTGAATTGCACGGCTGTAAGGCAAAAAGAAAAGACATTGTAAACAAGGGGGCGTATCAAGCTGAAATTTAAGGGGAGGGAGGTTAAATGGGCTTTATTTGATATATACATGTAGTTAACATTTTATGTGCAGAGGGATCGACCATTAGTAAATAATATCAAGTATTTTTTAATTTTTTTTCTCATCGGGAATGTATTCCAATTATTTCAAGTTTTAGTATCTCCAGATGAATTCATCAAATTTCGAAGCGGATTAGGAATAAAAAAAACTATCATGCTATAAGTTCAATGATATCACACGATATGCAATATGTCAAATTATTATATGATACTAATCTTTTACGAACACTTCGCAAACTATCAGGTTTTCGGTAATACAGTACAATATTTTCCACAATATTTTGCTGGGTCATGTCCTCATGATGGAACAGGAACGTATCCCAAAAACATCAACTTTTTGGACTCCTGTTGGGAAGCGTAAGTCTGGACGGCCTAAAACAACTTGGTGAAGAACCGTCCAGGCTGAGTTGCTGGAGATGGGACTGACTTGGGGCGAGGCTTTGAAAGTTGCAAAGGACCGCCAAGAGGGCCGTCACCGTGTCATGGCCCTATTTCCCACTAGGGAAGATGGGGATAAGTTAAGTATTTTCCAAAAAACAATAACTCGTGAGGAAACAAAGGGAAATGTTGAATATGAGCATATCATGTGACGTCATCAAATTAAATGATGCATAATAGCTTTTTAATAATTTTTTTCTGAAATTTGAAGCCGGCATCTAGTGGCACTTATTAGCCAAGCTAGTCCATGTTCTCTACATATTGATTCTATTTTTTTTTTAATAAAAGTATTTCCCTTCAAAAGGACTTAATTAAAGTACATAGCCATCCAGTGTCCAATGTGCTTGTGGCTTGCACTTCTTAGTGAATTGAGTTAAGCCAAAATTCAAGTGTAATACAAACAAAAACTGTGAAAATTAATTGAAAGAACATTGATTCACAGACTATATTCTGACTACGGCTCCTTATCCTAGACATATTGGTCAAAGTCTAAGTACACATATTCAAAAAAAGAAAGAAACAGATGGCACTAGGCCATAAACAAAATTAACTAGGAAATCGTTTTTCATTAGGCAACATATTAAGGTAGCTTTTGCTTAAATTAACTTTCAATAAATCAATAAAAGATACAATGTTGTTTTAGTAATATTCTTGTATTTCGACATACAATTCTCATTTTAAGTAGAAATAAACAATTTTAGAAATATCTTATAGTTTTATATTACAGTCACAGTCAAGAATTCTTTTTGATTTATTTTAAGTAGAAATAAACAATTTTAGAAATATCTTATAGTTTTATATTACAGTCACAGTCAAGAATTCTTTTTGATTTTAATAACAAGAATTTTTTAAATAATATTTGGATTCTCAAGTGAAAATAAACATATATAATTTTAGAAATAATTTTTTATGATTCAAGAATTGTTTGTTTGTTTTTTACTCTCAATATATCACTAAAAGAAATATAATTTTGTTTCTAGTAATATTCTTTTATTTTGATATATTCTCAAGTAGAAATAAACAATTTCTGGAAAAAAAATTATAGTTTTAGTCAGATAAGTCAACAATTATTATTTTTTTCATTTTACTCAAGTCCAAGCCTTCTAAAATAACACAATTTACATGACTTCAATTTTTTTGGATCAGCATTTTATTTTATTTTTATTTTTTTTTTTTTTTTCGTTTTTTTTTTAGCTGTTCAGTCAAGGAGTTTGAATATTCATACATTAAATTTAAGTCCTGTTTTTGTCAGTTCATAAAAGGCATCACCTTTACTATAGCAATTATACTTTCATTTAAATTYACATGTGGTAATTGCAGCTTTCCAATTGAAACATTCATATTAAGCTATTATTACTTGGTACTAAGCTTCTTGCATTGTTATGATAATTGAGTAACACCCCAGGTAATCTTACTACAAGAAACACAATTAAATCCAACTCAAGAAATCTATCTACAAAAACCACACAATTTTTAAACGCCAGTCATGTTAAAACACAAATATAATAAGAGCTTTTTAAAAAAAAAAAATAAATTTAAGCCCACAAATGATACAAAAATAAAGATTACATTTACGTTTGTATGTGATGTCTGGCAGGTGTGTAAGCTTATATTTACAATTGCTTTGAAACATTAAATTCTCGAATGGCTTTTTTACGAGTATATGTTTAGAGCTGTRTGTGCCTGTTATTGGCCTCGTAAGAAAAAATTCCGATTGATTATGATAAAAGCCCAGTAATAAGATTTCTTCYCTTAGAATGGCTACGAATACCACACTTTCTTAATAATTCAACGATCCCTTACTTTRGCCCTCCAAATAAAACTCCATGATGTTAATAATTTATGCCATTRTGGCTCGTCCAAGTAATTGATCAAAACATTCACATTTCCAAAGGACACCCCCATAGAATATCATTATTCCTATCAGAACATTGAACTTTGAAACGATTTTAATTCGATATTGAAAMCATTTTAGTTTCCAAATGAACATTCAAAAACGAGAATAAAGTTGACTTATTCAAGCGCAAAAATCCTTGGTCGTTTATATAAAAGATTTTATCAGCATATAGCGTCCTTAGATTAAGAACTCGCAAAGAATAACATCAGAGGACGTCTAGCGACCGCAGCTTTCAAAAGCAAAAATGTGGTTTCTTGCAATAACATATATCTTCTGTATTTTTTAGMAGAAACTCGMAGATAAATTTGATAACAATCTTAACGAGGTAAAGAGTCAAAACTCTGTTGTCTTGCTGAGAGTAGAAGAMCAAGTAACAATTTTACAATTTATAAACAGCTTTTAAAACCTTACCTGTCATCGTAAACAAAGTCTGAATTCAAAGTATTCAGATAGCAYCCTAAGCCAACAATCACTACAATAAGCCCTGTATAACATCTCGACCAAGTTTTCTCATCCATGCGATCGATGGAACTTCAAATCAGGTCTTCGTTTTTCTCTCCCAGGGTGATTCATCCGTCTTCATCAAATGTTCAACCATCTTTGATCAGAGTGACCACGCCTTCTTGTTTACCTCTACGCTGTCATAAATGACCGCGGGCACAAAGTGGTTAATCATTTAATATAATTTGATTTAAGCAATTTCTTTTAGGAACCACATATCAGTGGAATCGTAGCGTAGCGGTTAGAAGTACACTGTTATCGCTTAAAAGAAATTTCTTGTGGTCATTCCMAAAGACGCAATATAATAACAACKAGCCCATGAGRAGYAAGTTAGAGAGSCCTGTGACATARGCACTRATCACATGCTWCCCCATTGGGCTAGAGACTTTGAATGAATTAAATTTCTAACCTTGGGAGTCTGTTTGAGCTCTATAAAGTGCGAGGGAAGGAGCAAGGGACTTCGAGGAAGGCAAGCGAACGAGATAAAAACAAAACTGAAAACAAGAAAAAATGAATAAAAGTAAAAAGAGCGACTGAGAAAACTAGGAAATGATAATAAAAAAACTTCAAAGAAAATTTTGAATAGAGACAACTGAACGACGATTAAATCGAGGAAATTAATGAGAAGCCAAAAGGATCTAAATTATGAATTTAAGCGCATGCTGGGTCTCAATTAGTAGGACGCCAGTTACCCTCTATCTGTATAATCTATATTATTCAAAATGCATGGTGATTTTAAGTGCCCTGTCACTTTGAGCAATAGCGATAGCATTCAAAAATCATGTTCCAGAAGATAAAAARATATGATATACATATAAAATATAATTATGTGAAAAATCCGCAATAAAGCTGAGACAATTTGTTTTGTGTAATGATTTGAATTCTTAAAATTCATTTCTCGACGCTATAAGAGTTTTATAAGGCACCTATTAGCCTTCCCAAAAGCACTAATTTCTTTTTCTTTTAGCTAAATATATAGTCACATGTCATTATCATTTACCAACGGAGCGTCAAATTGACTCTATATAGCGAATACATTACATGTAAGAAATAGGGATTTTTTTTAGTCTATTGAAATCCGAAAGCCGTACTCCGATTCGTTGATAAAAATGGCTGATCTGATATGAAGGATATCCGGAATTTCATAAAAATCATTATAAATACAAATAAAATCTTTTCATGTGAGCATCTTAGTATTCAGACCTAGAACATACGTACTGGATAGTTACGATAGAAACATTGACATTATTGTATCCCGCCTCCGAGGTAATGGGGTCTTGTAAAGCAACATCTCAGACGTGTTCATTTTATAGCGAAAAGCACTGTTGTCAATATTATATGTCCCTTTGAATATTATAATATTAAGTATTTTCTTTGCACTACTAGAATGCAAACAGTTGTATTCCGGCTTGATGAGGTCAAAAACTAAACGGAAATAAATTGCGACAACTGTATGTTGCTGAATATTTCCTATTCAACAAAAATTGGACGCCGCTCCTTTAGTATCTAGACCCTATCTAATATAGACAGAATTTTATTTATATTTTATCTATTTCTTTAGTCATTTTATTTTATCTTAAATTTCAAAACTTATAGTATAAAATGCTTCGTCGTCCTCTTTTTTGATTATATTTTTGTCTTATTCTAATTGATGTTTTATATGATTCGGCTTGTTTATTAATGTTAATTTTGCATTTATATTTCCATACTAAAATAACCGCTTGAATCATGCAGTTTATAAACCTTAAAATTAAGGTGTGTAATTCACAACAACMACCGTACTCTTTCGAATTCAAAAGGAACAACCACTGTTTTATTTGACATCAAATTCTTTTACGCAAAAAGACTTTACCAAACRCAGGAATCAAACAATAGAGGGGTAAATGTTCACAAAAATAGCCAAAGTACAATAGACCACTTTCATAAGTGCCCACCATTGATTTTATACAATTTATAATATTATGGAAACATTCAACACTGTTATATAGAAGAGCTATTAGAAATAGGTATTCACATGGAAAGTTTTATATAAAGCCATGACTAAACACTAACAAAGTTATGGAGGAATAAAAAAACATGGATTTGTATGGAATTCTTTGCTGATGACTGGGTAGCCTCGCTTTGGTGTTTTCGTACTTCTTCTAACCCTTATAACTTCAAGAGGATTTAATATTTTTCTGTGAAACTTTCAGAGTTTATCTTTGGCTTTGATATCTACCATTTGAGTGTCTTCTTCTGTCAACATTATTAATTGAGAGATAATATGCTAATTAGCGTCGGCCATTATGAAAGTCGTGTATATCGCTGACAATCTATATTTTCCCCTAGTTGTGGCTAACCTTAGGAACGTTTGGGAATACAGAGTTAGTCTCAGAAGAAAATGTAAATTCCCAAGAATATTGTAATATTGTATTTTTTTTCGCGCTTTCTTTAATGTGTTTGCCCGTAATGTCTTTGCGCAATAGCATCTGTAGTCAATTAAATAAAGCAGCGGTTTTTCGTTTTGAATTCGAAAATCMTGTATTTCTTCTGCATAAATTAGACAGAAAAAATAAAAATCTACWATAACTTGAATTAATAAATTGCTTAATATCAGGAAGCCTTTATATAATATATTATATATCAAATATTTTTATAAGTTTTAATGAAGAAAGCTGTTAGAGCATCCACACACACACACAAAAAAAAAATGTTTCAAGTCACTTCTGAAATCGATGCTTGCAAACTCCGAGATCGCTGCTTGTAATCCTTTACATTATTACATTTTATCTTTCACTTAACTTTTAAGCTGTCTTTAAGTTATGTTTAATTAACAAAATGGAGTCTCTCACCAGGATGTAATGCCTAGGACTGCACGGAAAGAGATGAATCTGATTTTTTATAACGTTTCACGAGGACCGTTCTACTATTCTGCGGTGGACGGAAAAACAGTTAGAAACTAAATTTAGAAATTAAGAGTCTTGTTTTGACAACGGACCAAACACACCATACACTACAAAGTTAAAAATCTGGCGGGAGCCATGCATCATCTATACTACTAGATTTTAAAATTTTAATGATTGTCACGGTTAAAACGACGAAGCTTCTCACGACACTTATTATTTTGATTTAAGATCGTCACACTTCTAATGTTTGAAACGGAATACGTACTCAATGAATATTCCGTATTCCCACTTAATGTTTCAATTCACAATTCCATTTTTCTTGAAATAATATCTCGCATTTCACAATATTTTCCCTCCGAGATTCAACTTCAACCCCCCGTGGCATATATGACAAAATATATGGATATAAAACAAACTGGCCTTTAGATCAAAGCTTATAGGTTAGGAAATCTTACTTACATCGTGTAATTGACGTCTTCCCGATGTGCTAAGATTACTAGTAACTAATCGGAATGGATCTATAAAGTACCATATTAAAGTAATGATTTTATTAAAAGAAACTATATAATGAAGCGTTTTTAAGGAGTTTTCCAGGAGCGCTTATCAGGATTTTAGCGAT